TGGTCCGCCAGACTGCTTTCTTGGTAAGAAAGCAAAGGGAGACTCATAGAGGTAGACACTAACCCAAAGTCACACACAAAGAGTGGCAGAATTAAGACTTGAACCCAAGTTTCCCAATTTTGTAAAGAATTTGGATTAGACAAGTTTCTTTGGGAAGTCCATACCTAGTCTTTAAAAGAAATCTCACAGGGCTAGGGATAAGGTTCAGTTGGTAGAGTGCCTGCCTCACACACACAAAACCCTGGATTCAGTCCCCAAAACTGCAAAGAACTGGGCGTAATAGTGTATACCTATAATTCTAGCATTTGGAAGGTCGAGGAAGATCAGAAGCTCAAGGTCAGCCTTGGCTACATAGGGAGTTTGAGACCAGCCTGGGATATATACAAATCTCAAAACAAGTCAAAAAGACAAAAAAAAAAATCTCTTGTGCACATTTACCCACACTGTGACAGTGCTCTCTGAGTCACATGCTGTTGTCCCCCAACCCTTACCCTCTCTGCAGTGTCTAGATTCTGAGCAGTTAGCACACTCTGATATTCTCTCAGTCCAGGTCCTGCCCAGACAGCTCCTGGGAAACTTGGCTGTTCATGACAGTGACTCCTCAGGCCCATGGGAATATCCTGGTTCAAGTGTCTTGCAGATGTGCCCCAAGGACTCTTTGCTCCTGCCTACCAAGTTAGGATACTGAGCCTACTCAGAGGCTCCCCCATGGTCATGTTACAGAACCAAACTTATCCATCTCCTGCCAGAGCTCATACAGGGTGCCCTCCACATACCAATGATGTGCCCCTGCTCATGACAATGCCCTCTGCCCACAGCTGTCCTACTAGCACAGGCCTCCAAGTGCCTTCTCCAAGAGTCATAAGCCAGCTGAGCCAGAGAGAATTGCTGTGTAGCTCTGAGCAAATCTTTCCCATCAATGAGCTTCAGGGGGGTGGTGAGTGCAAAGAGTTCCCAGACTTCCTGGACAAGAGAATTTTTTAAAAACAAATTCCCAGGCCTCATCCCAGCCTCACTGAATCAGCATCCAGGACGAGGGAAGCTGTGCTTTTAACATGAGCCTCTAGGACCTGGGGCATGAGGAAGTGAGGGAATCTCCCACTGAGAATGAACTTGGCTGACCATCAGCAGTACCTACAGAGCTTTGAAAAACTACAGGCACAAGCTGGGCATGGTGGCACACAGCCTTTAATCCCAGCACTTGGGAGGCAGATGCAGGAAGATCTTTGTGAGCTCAAGGCCAACCTTGTCTACATAAGGGAGTTCCAGGCCAGCTGGGACTACAGGGAGACCCTGTCTCAAAAAGACCAAAAAAAAAAAAAAAAGAAAAAAAATAGGACCTAGCCCACAAATTTCTAGCCCACATATTGACTGTGGGGTGCCAGTATGCTTATGCTATGTAATCATACCTTCCCAGATGTTCCAGTCAGGTCATTTCAGTGACTAGCATTCTGAAGTCACTGCAGGCTTACTGCCCTGGTGTCCTCATAAAGGTATTTGTGACTACAACTCCATGAAAACAGGCTACAGACCTGTTTTTATTTACTGATGTTTTGGGTTTGCTTTGGCTAGCACCAATGTTGAAAAAGTATTTTAGTCAATTGCCAGTGTTTTGGTGAAATTATAGGATCTTGGGCTAGAGAGATGGCTCGGCAGTTAAGATCACTGGCTGCTCTTACAAAAGACCCAGGTTCAGTTCCCAACACCCACCCACATGGTGACTAACGACCATACAGTAATTCTAGTTCTGGGGATCTAACACTCTCTTCTGGCCTCCACAGGCATTGCATGCACATAGTACACTTAAATACATGCAGGCAAAATACTTATAATAAAATAAAAATTCATTGAAACTAAAAATTAAATTTTCTAAAAAATCATAGGATTTTTACACAAAAACTTTAAAATTCTTAGTTTTCCTTAAAGTCTTATCTCTATACGTCAGGCCTAAATTCCCACGTGGCAAAAGTGGCTGGAGCCGAACAGTGAGGCCCTTTAGATAACAGCTGATGTTCCCCATCTGTCTCTAGCCCCATAGTTGTTATTATGCCTAACACTGAGGGACCATAGTAGGTAGGCTGCATGTTAGTATCATGCTTGTGTTTTCTTTCACTTAGTAAAAACTGAGTCTCTAACCAAAATGGAAAAAGCAAGAACTAGGCCAAGGGCCCTTGTTTCAAAACAAACCTGCCTCAGCAGCCTTGTTTGCTCATTTCTCTTATGAAATGCCAGGTCCATGGCACCTGGTATGTGGCCCTCAGCTGCTCACTGTGTGGGAGCATTAGGTGTTCCAAAGTCCAGGGAAATGCAAAATACACCATCCTACTTTCAAAACAGAGATGGGCACACAGCATCCACGGCCTCCATTCTGGCACCAGTGCAGGGGGGAGATGCCCCTTGCTTGGACTGAGATGAAGAACTACTTCATGAAATGCCCATTTGAAATGGTACTCAGGTCCTCATGCTTGTAAGCACTTTACCTATTCAGCCATCTCCCCAGCCCTAAAACATTTTAAAAGATAAGCTGTGTGTGGTAGCCAATGTGGTAGCCAGTAGGCAGTCAGATGTTTGTGAATTTGAGGCCAGCATGGGCTACATAGCAAGTTCCAGGCCAGATGGGGGCTACAGGGAGACCCTGTTTCAAAAAGACCAAAAAAAAAATTATTTTAAAGAGAAGTACAACAAGTTAAAGCATAAGCAACTCTCAGTGATGCCATCAAGGACAAATGCAGGTTCTAAAACATTCACCAGGTGGACTGGCACAGGAGGAGAGCTGAAGTTCCTTTGGGATGGCAACAGGCACCAGCCAGCAAGATGATAGAGGCTCATGACCAAGTGTTCTGCTAGGTCAGAAGGACTGCTCTGATTGTACTGAACACCTACCATAGGCCACACTACAGTGTTAAAGATTCCGCTTACCACCCCTAGGCGACAACTTTCCCTTTGGAGCTTCTGCCAGGGAAATGTCAATATTGTGCTTACTCTCACTTCCCTATCAAGAACCTAAGTTACTAACAATCCAGCCCTTCAAATGACCTGTGGCACATGCCAAGCAGGCAAAATAGCAGTGGGGGCATGTGAGTGTCACACATCTTGCTCTGGGAAACATTCTGCCCTATCCTGGTATGCACACAGCAATACAGTGGGAAATAAAGCCTGTGTGAGGGATGACAGGCATGACTGAGCCCTACAACCCCAACAAATCCTTGGACTTGTCACAGGTAGAGAAAAAATTAGTACAAATTTTCGTAAACATGAGCCTAGGGCACAGCCTTTGAGGTAACATTCAGTGGCTTAAAGAAAGACAAGAAGGTCAGCAACCTCAGTCAGAAATACTGGGAGAGATGGGAGGGCCCCATATTACATATCTAGAAGGATTCCAGAGATAGACTTTCTACCCTGGGGAACCTTAATGCCCAGATTAGTTGGGGGAGGCTGCAAATCCAAACAGCAGGACTCACAGACTCCCTAAATCCTATGGCGTCTGTCTAGCAGATTAACAAAGATAATGGTATGGCAGTCACTATCCAATGCATGGCAGTCACTATCCAAGAATAAGCAAAGGACATTCAGAACTTCAGTCCTCATAAAAAAAATCCTGCTGGGTGTGGTGGCCCATTGCTTTAATCCAGCATTCAGGAGCCAGAGGCAGGACAGTTTGTGTGAGTTCCAGACCAGCTGGGTCTATATAGTGAGTTCCAGGTTAGCTAGTACTACACAGTGAGACCCTGTCTCAAAAAGCAAACAAAACAACAAAATCTTATGAGATTTACCCCTCCCCCAACGCACACAACCTTTTTCAGGGGCCCTGGACCCACTGTGCAAGCACCCCCTTTCGGCCACTCTCACTGGCAGGTCACTAATTTTGGGGGCCTGTTTTCTCACCCATAAAAGTTTTACATCACCTGCCTTGCAAAGATCATGTGAGATGACCAGAAATAGGAATGAGTGAGGCTGGACTTCGGTGAATGCTCATTAAATATCTGTCCCCAGTCTCATCCCTCACCTTCCCCACCTTCTGGTCTTACAGCTTGCTAGACCAAACCTCCCTAGGACACTGCTCTCCTTAGCCATTCCTCTCTGTGGTTTAAATATCCCCTACGTTCAGGCCCACAGCCACAGTTCCTCCACTAGAGAGCCAGTGGCCAGGGCAGCTTTTCCTCAAGGTTGCTCCTGCCCCTTCCACACTGGTCCAGCCCACCCAGAGTTCATCCATCCTTCCAATCCCTTCAACCTCAGTCCCCTCCTCCCCTGCAGTGTCCCTGAATCCCTCACCTACAGATACTTTCCCCAATACTTGACCAGCGGGACCTGGAACTCCTTAAGATCCTGGCCAGGGGTCTCCCACACCCCTAACTCTCATATTCTCAGGCCAGCGGTTCTGAATTCGACAGAAGCTCTGCTGCAGGTCGCAGCCAAACAAGAGCCTGGACACCCGCCAGACGCTCTTCTGAGGCCGGGTGGGGCCGGGAGAGTTAACCCAGGGCGAAGGAAGAAGCTCCGGCTCCCCATTCCCCACCAGCGCCTTCACACTTGGGGGAGGGGGAGGCAGGAAATGCAAGGGCCGCGCCGACCCGGCCCCCCACACTGCCGGGGGGAACCCGAGCAGCCCTGCGACCTGGCGCGGTTGCGGAGGGTGTCCTGGCCGGCTGGATTTCCAGCCGAGCCACCCGAAAGAGGTGAGAAGCCGGCTTCTACGCGACGAGTCCAGCCTTTCGGACGAGCGCTGTCCCGGGAGGTGCGAGCATCCCTGCACCCGCGGCGTGGAAGCTGGAGCCCACAGAGTGCAAGGAGCCTACTCCCGTGATCGTCCCCATCGCCAGGCTGCGTCCGGGCCGAGGACATCGCTCCGTCGCCTGCCCGACCCCAGCCCTATCCCGAGCTCTTACAACGAGTCCCAGGCGGAGCCAGTTCCCAGCCGGGTCTACCGAGGTGAGAAGGGGCTGGAGATGCAGGGAGGGTGGCAGGGTCCGGCGGGTCCGCGAGGCTCGGCCACCCACCTGAGGCAGGTCCCGGGACACCCCGCGCCAGAGCGCAGAGAACCAGGAGCACCCGGCGCAGTAGCGGCGCGAGGCTGCCGGGACTCCGACGACCGTACATGGTTGAGGCCGGGTGGCCGCCAGGCGATCCTTCCGGAATGCGCTTGTCTGTCGGGTGCGGATCCCTGCAGGGTCCCGGGTCCGACTCAGGACATGCCTGGCCGCGTGCAGATCTTGCGGTCCCGGCCCCGACTCCGGCCGGCGGGCAGCTGCATTCGCTCCCGGGGCAACAAAGACTGCAAGGCCCGCCCCCTCGGCCGACTGCTGAGACCAAGAAAAGAGAGCTAGAAGGAGAAAAGAAAGAAAAGGAAGGCGGGAGGGAGGGAGGGGAGCGCGGCGCCGGCCCTGCCCCGCCCCGCGGGCTCCTGCCCCCGCCCCTGCCGCCCGTCCCGCCCCCTCAGGGTTCTGGCCGCCCACAGCTAGCAGGGCGGAGCAGGGGATCGCAGCTGCATAGGACAGATGCCCGAACGCCCGCAGGGCCGAGGGCGTCCCCTGGCGGTAGACCTTGTCCGAGCCGCCTGTACCCTCCAGGGCCCCCAAAGAATCTAGAGTTGCTGGATGGAGTTTCTGCCTTGTCCTCAATCTGTGCTTCCCGGGCCAAGCAGGCTCAAGTAGGGGACTTGGACACCTCCCAAAGAACCAGGATCACACAGATGAGGCAGGGCCCTGGATTCTAGATCTGACCTCAAAGTCAACTCAATAAAGAGACCTGGGGCCTCTTTCCACTGGCAACAGTTTTCCACTTGAGGTAGATTCCTGCTTTCCTTGTCTCCAGACTTTTTATTGTCTGTGCCCTGAAGGCCAGCACAGAGTTCAGCCAACAGCCAGGGGACTTTGGTGGATCAGGATAGTGCCCACAGACTTTCAGCAAGGGGCCCTGGGAGCCTGGAAGCTCACCAGCCCGTACCTGACAACCCAGAGGCCTGACCAAACACCCAGCATCTTTGGTAGCCCCAACTCTGGCTCTGGCTTCCACATCCCCTTAGCCCATACTTCCGGGAGTAGACTCGGTCCACCATTCACCATCAGCCTTCACTAACCTTGGTTCTGCTGTGAGGGTGCCTGTCTAGTATGGTCACACTCCTTCCATTAGCCTTTGTGTAGCCAGCCAAGGTACACAGCAACCCTCCCCCCATCTTATTGCCCAATCTCCTGTGCACTTTCCCTCTTGCCTGGAAGCTCATTCCTCTGTTCCCTCTGCATCCCAGCTCTATTAGCCTCTGTGTAGCCCATGACCACTCATTTCAGGACATTATCTTTGGTGACATTCCCCTCCACCTCAGCCCCTTCAAGTCTCAGGTCCACATGCGGCTGTGCCATCCCACACTTCTGAAATCTGCAGATGAGATGCCTGACTGTTCACCCAGTGTTTCTGCACCTTCACCTGAACAACCACACTGCACTGTTTTTCCTGTAGCCTCTGGTCACCTTCTCTTTCTCCCCAGACACCAGTCTCTGCTGGCTTCACCTTCCTTTTCTCCTCCACCTCTAGTAGCAGCTGGTTTTGCTGTTCAGTGGCAGAAACAATTCAGGTTACTCTACCCTCTCACCTCCCACCCTTTGCAACAGGTGTCTGTCCCGTGATTGGCACTCACCCACTTTCTCTGGACATGATGGAGCGGGAACCTTGCAGTAATGAGAAAACAAGGCTTCCCCCAGGGTTCTGTAGTCCTCCCTCGTTCCTCCCCAAGGGACTCAGTCCAGATAGTGTCCTCTGTCCTTGGTCTCCATGAGCTCCTGACCCTCAGTCTAAAACTTCTCCTAGTAAAGACACTGATGGACAGGTGACCCCTGGAGCTCCCACCTGCTTGTTTGCCCTCTTCTCACACTACTCCAGAGGGTTGTCTATATTTGGTCTCCTGTTGTACCTCAGGCTCAACCTCTCATCCACCCCCCCAAGTGTCAAAGCCCATAGATCTCCACTTGACCTTCCCAGTACATTCAGGAGATGCCCTCTACCCCATAAGGTGGTCACTCCACAAATACTAGGTTTCACTGCAGACCCAGGAGATGCAGCTGGGAACAGGGATGAGGCCCCACTCTAAATGAGGCCACACCAACAAGCAAGTAGGTCAGAAATAGAATCAGCTACTAAGAAGCATTTTGGGGCATGGTGGCACATACCTTTAATCCCAGCGCTTGGGAGGCAGAGGCAGGCAGATCTCTGTGAGTTCAAGGCCAGCCTGGTCTACATAGCGAGTTCTAGGCCAACTGGAGCTACTGGGAGACCCTGTCTCAAAAAGACCAAAAAAAAAAGCATTTTGAAGAAAACAAAATGGGGTTGAAAGTAGAGGTCTGTTCTATATAAGGTGGTCAGGGAAAACTGTCTGAGGTAGCATTTGAGCTGTGAGACCAGAATGACTAGGAGCCAGCCACATGGAGGTAAAAGGAAAAAGATGAATACAAACTTGTACTTTCAGGCCTAGCCTTTATGTCACCTCTTCCAGAAAGTCTCATATCTCTCTCTCAGGGCTTCAGAACACCCTAGCCTGGTGCTAGTCACACTAATGTGCAGTTGTCTGGTAGGGAACTCCCAGTTCCACTTTGATGAACTCCTGAGACTCTTATTGGTCTTTGTGATCCTAGTCCCCAGCACAGCAAAGCCCTCCCCTGCCAACATAACCTGCTTCCCTTACTCCTTTGGCCAGCCGCCAAGGCCAAACAACAGATGAGAGGCTTTTGGGAAATGCCATCCTGGAGTTTGTATTTTCTATGCCGGGGCTAACAACAGCCCCCTCCAGTTTCCATCTGTGTCCCTGTGGTCTGTGCTCTCCACATCCTGCTGAGCACCTTCATTGTAAACCTCCTTGGGAACTGCACCAGACACCATGGGATACAAAGAATGAGAAGGCTTAGTCATACCCTCATGACCAGTGATAATCCAACTGGAAAAACAAGATGAGCCAACTCCAGATGTTGGAGGGTCAAGTGGATGTTTGGAACAAAGGAAGAGACTTGATATTTTATCATGTTTGATGCCATTTTTCAGAATATTATGTATCTGGTTAATGAGTTTTCCTTTCAATTCTTTTCTTTTTGTGTGTGAGAGAGTGTGCGTGTGTATACGTACGTGTGTGCGTGTGTGTGTGTGTGTGTGTGTTTGTATGTAAGTGTGGGCTTGCATGTGCCACAGCACACCTGCAATAGTCAAGAGGAAAACTTTCAGGTTCTCTCATTCCACTGTGGGTTCCAGGAATTGAACTTACATTGTCAGGCTTGAGTGACAAGAGTTTTTATCATCTGACCCATCTCATCAGTCCCTCCCTTCAATTCTTGATAGATTGTTTTGTTTATTCTCTAAGGAATTGGTATGCTATCTAACCCAATGTCCCTGGTACAACTCAGCATAGCTAAAGTCTTAACCACCAACTGATCAAGTTTTAAAGAAACTACATTTATCTTGTTTCTGTGTATTCAATTATATATTGGTAGGTTGTTAAAAGGTAGGAAAATAGAGTGGAGAACTGTGTATTTAAAATTATGCATGAATATCAAGGCCAGCGAGATGGCTCAGTGGGAAAAGCACTTGCCGCCAAACCTGACAACCTGAGTTTGATAACTGGGATCCACATGGTAGAGAGAACTGACTCCAGAAAGTTGTCCTCAGTCCTCCACATATATGCTGTGGAACAGCTGCACCCTCATAAATAAATAAAATAAATGTAGATTTTTAAAAAATTATATATGAGGGGCTGGAGAGACGGCTCAGTGGTTAAGAACAATGGCTGTTCTGCCAGAAGACCTGGATTCAAATCTCAGCACCCACATGGCAGCTAACAACTGTCTGTAACTCCAGTTCCAGGGGATCTGACAGCCTCTTCTGTCCTCCATGGGCATTGCACGACATGGGTGCACTTCCCTACATGCAGGCAATACATGTATACACATAAAATAAAAATAATTTAAAAAATATTTATGATTATGATTATTTATGATTTATTATTATGATTATTTATTATTATGATTATGATTTATTATGATGATTATGATTATTTATGATTTATTTATTATTATGAATAAACTGAGTGTGGTTGGACCTGGACCTGTAATCCCAGCACTCAAGAGCTAGAAGCAGGAGGATCAGAAGTCCATTGTCATCCTTGGGTAGCTACATAGCCAGGTCCAGGCTAGCCTGAGATATATGAGACCTGGCTCACCAAAGAAAAAAAGAAAGGGAGGGGGCTAGAGAGACAGCTCAGTCAGTAAAGCATTTGCTGTGCAAGCATGAGGACTTGAGTTCCGATCCCCAGCACACATGTGTAGTGGTGCTGCCTGTAACTCCAGCACTGGGGAGGAAGTTCGGGGAGGTAGAGACAGGCAGATCCCAGATGCTTGCTGGCCATCTAGCCTGGCCGAAAAGGTAAGCGCCTGTTTCAAAAATAAGCAATAGAGAAGACCCCCAAAGTCAATCTCTGGCCTCCACATGTGCACACATAGACAAGTATACCCACACATATCACACACAGATACACACACAGAGACACGCAGACACACACACACACACACACACACACACACACACACACACAGATAATAGTGAAAACATGAGGCTCGCAAACAGAAAATACAGCTTTTCTGAACCTTAATTTCCTTACCTGTCTAATGGGATGGCAATTCTCACTCCCTGATTTCCCAGCTTATCTAAGCAGTGATTCCCCACCAGAGGAGATTTCACCTCCCTGGAAGTTCTGCATTGTCTGAAGATAGTTTGAATTAACAAAAGCAGGGAGTGATGCTGCTGGCATCTAGTGGTAGAGGCCGGTGTGCTGTGGAATTATAGCCAGCTGCAAAGAAAATTTTCCAGTCCCAAATGTCCCAAGTATCAGGATTGAGAAACCCTGGTGTCCAGGGTTGAAGAAAGGATTTGAAAGCACTTGGCAGAAGGCTTTATAGTTTATTTTGAGTCTTATGTTAAGACAAACACAGAATATATTTCAAACTTTACACTATTGAAAAGTAACTCTTCCCTCCCCAAGCTGACCCTTGGCCTCTGTTGTTCTTTCCCGGGGGACATTGCTAATTTAGTTCTCACGAATCCTTCCAGAAAAATTCTGTACATGCACAAAGATACATTTTACACACATGGCAATAGATAACTGCCATATGTATTTGGCTTTTTGCTTTCAACAATATAACTTAGGACTGGGGAGGTTTGTAGAGTGCTTACCTGGCATGCATGTGGAGCCTGGGATCAAGCCCCTGCTCCCGCATTGCGGGGGATGGGGGGTCGCTTGGAGATGGCTCTAGTTCCTCACTTAGGAACTGCTGCAATCTTTGAATATCTTAGTGTGTGTTGT